GCCCGGCGTTGCCTCCGCCACCGCTTCAGGCGCCCGCCGCGCCCGGCCAGTGCATTTATGGCGGCCCCGCCGGAGGCGCCCACGCGCCCACACGCCGCACACACGTGCGCCCGCAGGCCGCCGCGGGGTTCCACCACCCTCGTTAGCGCGCACGCCTAATTGGCTGCGAACGGTCCCCGGCGGAGTAGGCGGGCCCGGTGCAGGACACACGGACTGAGCCGCAGAGCCAGACAGACGGACGCCCTGCCGGGAGCCACAACACAATCCGCTGGAGGGTGTCGTGGTCAGCACGGTGCCTCTGCGCCTCCGAGGGGCTGGAAACTGCGTGCCCGCCTCCTCAGTGAAGGGGGAGGAGACAGCCGGCTTTTAAATTATTGCGGGATCAGTCGGCGGTGGAGGGCTGCGGAGGCCCCCGGGTGCGTGAACCCGCAAGCCCTGAGTTGGCCTCGACATCCCAGCTCAGGGTACCGCTCTGGGGCAGGTCTCTCCTGCTGCCATGGCACGCGTGGTTCTGGGCTCCCGTGCCCTCCGCAGCTGGGACGGGGAAGAGTGGGGACTCTTGCAGGTTCTGAGTCTCTGCAGGGTCCTCAGCCCCTTGTGGGGCGTCTTCCCAGGGTCTGGGTTTCGCAGCCCTCGGTTGCTGTCTTTCGTGTCTGGAGCTCTCCAGTCAGGATCTCTGCCCCTCCATCCTCCCAGCCCTGACTCCCGCCCCCTTAGCTCGATCAAATTAGGGACCGCACGAAATCCCCTCAAGGGGCGGGGCTGGCTGCAGCGAGTGATGCTCATTAGAAGTGAAATCGAAATGAGGAGGGCTAGGCGGCCCTCTCGGTCCCCGCCCCCCGAAATGGTGACTGAAAAATCGCACAAATAGCAGACGGCCTACATAAAGATCGATACCCTTCATGTAATGGGAAAATATGTGTTTCTTCCAGAAATAATACGGAAACCACCCCCTTCCCACTCCCAAAGATATCAGAAGGGCCGTTCGAGGCCTGAGTATTTGTGCACGTCTTGTCCACAGGCTGGATATTATCAGAACAGGCTGGATAATCTCTGGACAACCTCGGAAGATCGAGCCTGGGTTCGGAGTGCTTTGCTTTCGAAGGTCATGAGTTTCCCTCCTCCTCTGGCTCGGGCCAATGAGCTGGCCCGCCTCTGATGGACCCAGGTGGGACCCGGCGGTGGAACTCCTGCCCAGGGTGTGAGTGTGTGCGCCGCCGCCCGCCGACGCGTGCTTCAGCGGGTATGCTCTCCTCCTCCCACGGCGGCGGTCCCGGGAGCCTGCTCTGCACAAGGACGGTCCTTTGCAATTACCGCGGGCAATGATCCTTCGGAAGCAGAAATTAAAAGTTAGGAGAAATAATGGGGGACCAATCGCCTGTAATTTGGGCCAAGCTCGGACATGCTGAGCCTCTGGGAGGCTGGGATAGGAGACAGGAGGAGGGGGCAGGGCTCTCTTCCCCCTCAGTTTCTTCCCTGCCCCCTCCCACCCTCACCGCGTGCTGGTCCATCCTGAGATTCTAATCAGACCCACAACACTGTGTCCTTCCTTGCCAGGACTTGATTATTCTTTATCTTTAAATTATAAATCACCTCTGGGGAAGGAGGGTGGGTAATCTCTCATCGCAGTGAGGTAATTATCTTCTTCCTGCCCGCCCCCCACCTTGGTCTTCACTCCCTCATCTCAGCTGAGTTTGAATATAGATGTACACGCCCCATTTTCTTTCACACACACACACACACACACACACACACACACTCATTCACAAGCAACACACAAGCAGGATTCATTCATGAGCACCCATACACAGTCATAAGGTGGCTCACAAGTGCAGAGCGTGTCACCCCTCACCCCTCCCTCACCTGCTCCTCCTTCCCATTTCTGTCTCTTTTATGTCCATTGGTGAGGACCACACACAGGCGGGATGCCAGGCCCCCATCCTCTTCCTGGGAAGCAGAGCTACTGGGTGCAGAAGGGAGCAGACCTTGGAGCTGGCTCTGGGTAGCAGAAACTCCTCCTGACATCCCTGCAAACATACCCCCCCCTCCCCGCAAACACTTGTCACCAGCACAGGTCGCCAGAGAGGTAAATGTTGCCAAACATTTAATAGCACCTACAGCACCCACACCTTACTGAGTGGGTGAGAGCTGGCATGGTGGCGCTCTCAGCATCACACATGGCCTGTGAGGCAATTCGATGACCTTTTCAGCCGTCTCTGTACAGCTTTCCTTCAGGACAAGCAAATGCAAGCAACGTGGAATTTTCTAGAATGTAGGTGAGATTGCTGCTAGGACATAGTGAGTATAACACAAGGTATGGAATAAGATAACATGTTATAGAAAAAATACAACTGGATGTTGGTTGTTTTTTGTTTTGTTTTGTTTTTTCCCCAAACACACATACTTGGTACTGCCAAATGCTGTCCCTGCCGATGGGTAGGGCTGGTCAGAGTTGAGTGTAATTCAGAGAAAGCATCTTGGCCATCCAGAAGTTTATAGGTGCCTGAGTTCACTTCCCCTCCGCTTACTGCCAATCTCTTCCTGTCCCTCGATGTTCTGATGGGAGCTACAGCAGGCAGAGTAATGAACGGCCAAGCTCACAGCCAACTCAGAAGAGTGGGATGAGCCTGAGGGTCCTCCGGAGCTGAATGGGTCTTTCTTTGGTCTGGGGCAGTGCTGTTTGGACCTAGCTCAAAGAGGACATAGAGGCAGCTTCTTTCACTGTTCCCACTCTGTCTCTGAGGACAACCCAAACAGAGGGATGCCTGATGCCCCCTCCTCCTCCCCTCCCAGCCTCAACCCAAACTGTCTAGGGCTATAAGGACGTCCTTTAGCTCCTAATCACAATTGATTGTCAATTAGACCCTCATTTGTGCAATCTCTGCCCATCTGCCATCTCAGGTTATCTCCAGCCCACCAGCTTCACTTGTGGGGCCCCAGGTGGGCACTGACAGGTGAAACCCCAGCCTGGAGCAGAGAAGGCTCTGCCTGCTCAGTGGACAGGAAACATCCCTTTCCCTGCTGAGCCCCACTTTGGCAGGCCAGTCAGGGTGACAGGTCACGTTGGACTGGGGCATCAAGGCAGAGAAAAATGTGGCCAGGGTGGAAATCTGAAAGAGAGACTGGCGACAGGGGTCTGAGAGGTGGGCCCAGGAAAAGGAGGGATGGGCTGGCATTTCTAGCTTCCTTCCCCTTGAATTATGCATTTTGAAATTCTGGATGGCAAGAGCAAGATGAGGAACCCCCAACCTCTGTCGTTAACTCACCTTGGGCTAATGAACCCTCTCCACTGTGTGGTGATCTCCAAGATCTCATTTGCTTCCCCTCATGGATCCAAGGGCTCCAGTAATAGCCTCCTACTCAGAGTAAAGGAACGCTGTGTGATGGAACATCCCTTCCCTCTCTGCTCCTGGGAGCTCTATGGGCAGGCTGTGAGTGCAGTAGTGTTCAGCATCTCTATGATTGGGCAATGCACAGACAACCTCCACTTTGGCTACTGCTTGCCTCGTGCACTGTGAATCCCCTACTCCCATTCTGCCCAATCGCCAAGGGTCCCACAACCTTTCTGGCAACATGCGGAGAACTTGAGTTAGTCGTCTGGTTCCCTGAGTGTGGACTGAGGGGCTGTTGACATCCTGCATCCTCTGAGCGTGCTGCCTCCCCACGGAAGGATGCAATGCGGGAAATTGGGCTGACAGGGAGACAGGGGCTCCCCTGTGCCTTTCTTGACCTCCACCCATATCGATACATGGCACACCCTGATGTTCACCAGTCTGGAAAATGAATGAGCATTTCTGCTCGTTCATTTTCTATTTCCCTTTGGATCTTCTGTTCCCTCAAGAATGAGCACCGCACAGTCAGAAACCTAGAAGAGAGCCGGGAGCTCGGGCTGCTGAGCTCTCCCCAGAGGAGGACCTGCCATCAGCACAGCACACAGAGCCCAACCAGCAGGCTGGAGGTCAGAACCGCGGACAGCTCCCAGGAGCACGAAGAGACCGGTCGTCTGCCAGTACCGCGGACAGCGGCGGACAGTACCGGAGGTCAGTACCGCGGACAGCGCGGGTTCCACAGAAGCCGAGTCAGCACCGCGGACACCGGCCCCGCCCCCTCCCCCACCCCACGCGACCTCAGCTTCCAGGAGACCACGTCAAAGTCAGGTTCAGAACTGGATCCAGCCAGCACGTTACTGCTCTCCACTCATGCACCGCCCCCACTGTCTATTACAAGTCTACCCATCTCAGAGCGTGCGGGCTACCTTTGGGGGTACAGTGTGGTGTCTGGACCCTGTGTGTTACACACCCAGATGAGATGCTGGCCCCATTCGCCTCGCACCAAAGAGCTAGGGAGTTTCACAAGATCAGTGGCTGCTGGGTTTGCATCCTTCTGTTCAAATGGTACAGGATTCAAAGGTGGAGGGCGTAGAGAGCAAAGGCTGGCTCCTAGCTAGAGATTACTTGGAGATGAAAAGGTAAAGTTCAAACCCTTTACATTGAAAAGCCAGATCAACAAATAGTACACCAGGAGTCACTCCGGGGCTTCAGGAATCATGGGTACTGTCATGGAGAGAAGGCTGCACAGGCTGCTGCCTCCCTCTCTTACACTGCTAGCTGGATTTCTGCCCCAGAAGAGTTTACTAACCACAAGACAGGATGGGGTCAACTGAAGCCAAAGAGCATCAATGCTTCGTTCAA